CTCTCTCTCTCTCGCTCTCTCTCTCTCTTTCTGCATGACTTTGATCACAGGTTTGGAAAAAGGCAGCTGTCGTGTTGCTCCCTCCTACAGAGCAGAACAAACGCTATATTCATCTGCCCCTGAAACTCCCCCGAGCAACTTCAGGACAGACGGAGCCCAATAATATCATTAATGCAGCTGGACGCAGACACACACACTGTCTGATCCGATCCACTGTCAGTTCTTACAATGTGGAAGATCTGTGGTGTCCTGATCGCCTGGGCTCTGCTGCTCATGCTGCATGTGCGAGCTCAGACTCAAAACAGGTACGTTTCTTCAGTCGTTTCTTTCAGCCACTGAAAGCTCATGTATGATTGATCACACAGCGAGCGGCGCACTGAATCTCATAATTCCTGATTTGAGGAATTTGAAGCTCTGTTGCAGAAATGAATGCTGCATCGATGCATGCTGGTGTTTATTTTTTCTTTCTCTTGTTTAGACAGACCTTCACCTGTGGTGGGAATATCACAAGAGAGTCGGGTGTTATTGGTAGTCAGGGTTATCCGGGCGTCTATCCGCCGAATACTAAATGTGTGTGGAGAATTACAGTAAGTATGAAGAGACTCAAACTGACTTATCATGTATTCAGGTAGAATAAATGCCGACTGTAAATGAGGTTTAGGCTCTAATAGATAAAACCATATTTAAATTTTCTGAAAGAAAATCAGTGCCTGGTAAAGAATAGTGTTAAAGTTGTAATTTAGTTTTAGGGTCTGTTTCTGTGAAAATTAAATACTGCAGCAAGAATAAAACAGAATAGGTTGTTGTCATGTAAAATTAAATAGATTCAAGAAAGAAAACACCAATCAGATGTCAGAACTAACCAATAATCGTGCAAATGTAGTGACATGATCGCTGTAGGTTCGATTTTGAGTGGGGAAACGATGGCAAAGTAATGGCAATGAATACAAACAAAAACACATGAGCATGTCATACCAGGTACCAGATTTTTTCAAGTTGAATAGAAACTATCAAGTCTAACATTTGTGGATATTTATTTGTTTTTAATCCACAATCCCACCCATTTTGGTACACTGTTTCTGTGGGTTGTTATTTAGTCCACTATAGGGCAAAATTGATTTTCGTGCGCTTGAAATACTTTCTTCTTTGCGAGATAAACATTTTCTCCACAAAACTCAGTTCGCGCTCGCGCAAAACACACTTTTGCATGCTTCAAAATATGACCTTTCGTGCGCAAAATTGTGGCAGAGATGTAATCCCATAGTCCACGGGCAGAGCTGGGTAGTAACTGATTACTGTTGATGTAATCTGGATTACATAATCAGATTCCAAAAATTAAATACTTGTAATTACATTACATTTTAAAATACTCATAACCAGACTACAGTTACTTTTTTGTTGATTAATTGATTACATATTATTCACACAATAGCAATAAATAATTCCTCTTTTTCATTTTTTTAAATGTTCTAAAATAGATAAAGGATTCTTAAATAGCCTACCACTAATATACGCTCAGAAAGTCTTCCAGTTTTGTGGACATTCACACAAAGGCCGGTAAGTGGCTACACAGCATTTGACCACTGGATTTGCAAAAATCATTTCAGGTTTAAGAAGTCTTTCAACATTGCAACAACTACTGATGAACACATTAATTTTTATTTGAATTATCACTCAGTAGGTTATTGAACCATGTATTATATGTCTTCGGAAGGCTTGTTCAAGGCTTTTGAATTTTGTCTTAAAATGCACAAATTCACATTATTTCTTATTTACAAGTTTTATTTTTTTTTGGACATCTTAACCTTTTTCACCTAATAAGTACCCCTGAGATTTTAAAATAAATGTATTAATAATTAAGTATCACATTTGCTTGTTCATGTAATATAAAAAAATTATTATATATATTTATTATATTATAAATATTAATTATATATATTAGTATTTTAATCAATGTTATTTTAAAATGATTTTCTTTTCTTTTTTTTCATTTGTATGACTTAATTAATTATTAGCTTTTCATGAAAGTCACAAACCCGAGTTTGGTAAACCATGTCATGTTTAATGCACTTTATGTTGCTAATTACAATGAATGGAATACATTTTCTTACTCTTTGTATTTTTATATCAGAATGGTACCAGATTGTCCTATTTAAATCAATGTGATAAACGGGTTAGGTCAAAAGTAATCTAAAAGTAATCAAAAAAATAGTCTGATTACATTAGCTAAAATGTGTAATGTAATGGATTATGTTACTAACTACAATTGTCATGTAATTTGGAATCAGTAATGGACTACAATTTGTAAGTAATCTACCCAGCACTGTCCACGGGTTAGATCGATAGTGTGAGGGGGAAACCATAGAAAAACGTGATTGGGCTAGTTTTGATTAGCAATTGGGATGGTTTTGTTTCGTAGACCTGGCAACCCTGAATCCATCAGTAGTACACTTTCAGAAAAAAAGGTACAAAAGCTGTCACTGGGGTGGTACCTTTTCAAAAGGTTCTAATATGTGTGATTTCATTACTAATATATATTTTAGGTACTAGTATGTACCTTTAAGGTACCAATATGCGCCCTTTAGGGGTAAATAAGGTACAAAGTTTTACCTTTTGAAAAGGTACTGCCTCAATGACAGCTTTTGTACCTTATTTTCTTAAAGTGATATATGTCCAGGAATGTATCCATACACACCTGCATTCATAAATAACATGCTTTATCTACAGATCTTCTTCACTGAATACAGTACATACTGCGAAAATTTGTCAATGAAATTTTAACAGATAACACAGGCTGAATTTATCAGTTGTCAAAGTTTGAATGTGTCTGTATGTTAAGTGTTGAAATGGGAAAGGAAAATGTATTAGGAATTTAAAAACTGCCTGATTTGCATGTACTGCAATGATGATGCAATAGAAAGTCATGGCAAGACTCAGTATGTGTGTGCTTTTGTTCTGTGTTTGGTTTGGCTGCTGGTCATTAAATCCTTGTGGCAAATCCTGACTCATTCTAGCATTTTATTGCATTGCTATCATCGCATATAAGAACCTCAGTTGTTGACTTGTCTGACTAAAAGGGTTTTTCCACTTTATTTTAAGAATCTTAATTATGTCGCATAATGTTTTCCATGTTGCTGCTGCAAAATATATACTAACTATGTATTGGAAAAAGGAAGTATTTTTCCCATTAATTTTCTCTTTTCTTAGCCATGAACCAAACCAGCCATCTCTGATATGAATCACAACATTATAAACATAGTCATTTAAAAAAACAAACAAAAAAAAACCTCATGATTTGTGCTGCAGTAACACTAGACATGAAATTTCTACAGACATCGGAAAGGTCATAATAGGACATCAAACTCTGCTATGTCATTTTTAAAAACATAATTCAACATAATAACCCCAAAATGTAAAAATATGCAGTCTACTCCAATTAAAAATTGTGTACTGTCATCTAGGTGGTCACACCGTGACGTATCTTCTATTAATCACACTTCTTCGTTTCCTGTCTCCTGTCTGGGAATGATGTAATCAAAACAGAAATGTCAGAACAATATAAATGGATGACTATAAAGTCTGCCAGATGTTTGTGAGCAGAAGTGAATTCTGATCTAGTTGGCTCTCAGTATGACGTCTGCTTCTTGCAGGTTCCAGAGGGCAAAGTGGTCGTCCTCTCATTTCGTTTTCTCGACTTAGAAAGTGACAACCTGTGCCGGTATGATTATGTGGATGTTTATAGCGGCTATGCCAATGGACAGCGTCTCGGCCGCTTCTGCGGGACGTTCAGGCCAGGAGCCCTTGTTTCTACAAATAACAAGATGCTCATACAGATGGTATCGGATGCCAATACTGCTGGCAGCGGCTTCTTGGCCGTGTACTCTGCTGCCAACCCAAATGAACGAGGTAAGATCATCATAAAAATGGACCATAAAATTGGCAGCTAATAAGACTGACTTGCTCTGTTCAACGCTGCAGAGCCAAAGGAGTTTAGTAGATGTTTTAAGATGTAGTTCAACACTTTGTTTGTTCATAAATGTTGCTGAAAATTCAATGGATAACCAGTTTACCATCATACAGCCTTTCCCTTACTTGCATCCAAAATGATCCATGTTTCCGTCCATAAATTCCGATGTTTTTAGGCATGGATTGTTTTTAAGAGGGCAAAGGTCAACTTTAATGAGCATTTAAGAGCTATCTGACAGCTCCTAAAGAAGTCAGAGGTCAAGATAATGCTGAAGAAGAGAAATGGATCTTTAAGATCAGGGCCGTTTCTAGCCAATTTGACGCCCTAGGCGAAATAGGGCGTCAAA